AAGCCTTTTGGCGGCCCCTCCTTATTGCTGGTGGGCTTAGGCATAGGTTGTAGTGGCGATCGCTTTGTGGCGAACTGGGATCCACTCGTAGGCATACTGTACTCCATCGGAGCTAATCGTAAAGTAATCTCAAGTTATAGTAAAAGTTTTGATCCACTTATTAGACAACTAAAAACTTTTGAGCATATCTTGCAATCACTGCTTCGATCGCATATTAGGTATTAATTTACATAATAAGTGCATCAATGAAGGCATCAAAGTATTATGATTTTGAGAAACGTTTTAATTAAAGCTGTTCTCAATTTGATCTGAAATTATTGTTTCTCAAGTATTCATAGGAATTGAATGCCAAACAATATAAACAATTATTAGGCAAACACCTGGTGTAAAGGCACTGCACCTGTCTGTCCCTTCAGTTACCTAATAACTACAGGTATAATAACTACAGGTATTAGCAGTGAGTCTATGACCACCAGCACAGGCAGGAGGAGAGGGTTCAACGCATTAATGCCTGAAATCGCTTTAATTTACAGATTAAATACCAAATAGGGTTTGACTCACAATAATATACCTGATATGAAACGAGGACTGAATGCCTAACTGAATGACAATACACCTGCAGATGATGTGCTCCTCTCTTCACCAGCCATACCACAACTCAACTCTACTTTCATAAACTTCATATAATATGGCTTTGACTTGAATTATATAATATTGTTGAATACTTTCCACACAAAACTAATTTCATTGAAAAGCTATTCAATATATGAAAAGAAGTTTACGCTTTCATGGCTTCGCTAATCTAATACTGTGTACAAAACACTTAACTAAAATTAACTATTGTTTGAATGAATTAAAAAAAACCAAATCCACTTTCACTCATATAATTTATATGTATAATAATAACTCTAATAAATATTAAAATATTTCTAAATATTAGGCAAGTGTTCAGAGAGGGAATAAAAATTTAAATTTCTACAATGGATTTAAAAATATATATAAAAACTTTAAAAATAAACCAATTGTTTGACTAATTATGATTATTATTCACTTAGTATTATCTTAAGTCTTGTTTACAAAACACTAGAATTACAAGATTTTTGAAATGTTTTGGGATTTAAATTGTTGTTATATAACGACAAAACTATTTTTATTGTTTTTAGCCAAAAATTATTTTTAAACTAAAAAACTATTTCCTTGAGAGCAATGAATGCAGAGATTTTGAGAAATAATCTCAAAATTTTCAGATTTGGGAAGTCTTTGAAGCGATTCAATGACCGAATCAATTGAAATGAAGAATATATTTATATATTAATCACAGATTGAATCTGTTTTGTGGGTTGTATTGAAAAATACCCAATATTTTATAAAATTTATACTCTTATCAATATATTTCACAACATTTCCATAAAATATAACTACATTTCTATTCATTGCAATCATAATATGATAGTAACAGTAATATTATTACTATTTTTCATGAATTTAAATTCACATTTAAATTGATTTGTATCTCAAAACTTACATAATATTTGTAATTCAAATGAAATTATATTTAATGAATAGAAAATACGACATAAATTATATTAAATTTAAAAAAATCACACAAAATAATTAGCGATTGAATTAATCAATAACAGGATTATCACTCAAATTCATTATAACTGATAATTACATTATTAATACACAACTTATGATAAGAGCGTTAAATAAGTGTTCAATTATTACAGCGATTTCCTCTCAGGAAACTAATTATAAACAAAAAACTGATTTATTTATTATAAATCACTAAATATTAAATTACATTTTGGATAAACACATACCAAATGAAACTTTTTAATCAAATCCAATATAATCCTTAAGTATTATGTCTTCACAATTGCACAAAATATATGACAACTTAATTAAGAATTTATAAATCCTAAACAATATTATCGTTAAGCACTAGAAATGGCAAAAATGGACAAAATTATTGATTAAAAACAAAATGAGAATTTTTCAAAATGTTTTAAATCTATATGATTTGAATATCATATGAATTCATATCAAATAGTGAATCAATTTTTATAAGTTATATAAAGTGGTGAACACTATAGAGAAGAACATTGAATGTTGACCTCTATTTCACAATAATAATGAACCAAATAATGACTTGAAATGCATAACTGGTTACTAAACAATTAGTTTAATAAACAATTTGTTTACAGAAATAAATATTTGTTTGTTTGACAAAAGAAAATATAATATATATTGTAATGAATAGTAAACGAGTTTCATATCATATCAAAAAACAAATTGATTTCTCAAACAAATATTGTTAGCATTTAGTGGTATAAGAAGTGGTTGTCATACATATAACGAGAGGGTATTATCGATAATAAGTGTCTTACCTATTGTTGGTATGGATGACAAGACAATCAGTGGATCAGTGACTGGAGAGGTGGTTGTTGTAAGTGAGGGATCAGTTGAATGGTTGATATGTCTGACACCTGAGCTCTCAGTGCATCGGATTCTGTGGTTCTCTTCAATCCTATGATTCGTGCTTTAAGTATGCGTTTGAATGCTTAGCAAAAGTCAGTGTTGTCTCCGCTCAGACCCAACACAACCACTCGTCTATCAAATGAGTGAATGAACTCTTCAGTTACGCTAACATATCGTTCATGTGTTTGCACTCAACAAAAAAACCCGTATTTCAAGCAATTCTTGGTCTCATTGGAAGCGATGCTTACATTCACTACAATAGCAATATTACTGTATGAATGGTTCTCTCTCTCTCTCTCTCTCGCCATTTGCTTCACTCACTGTAGGTATTGTAGGGATGGTTAGGGATGGCAGGGATTGCTGGGATGCCTATGAGAGTTAGTCTAACCAACAGCTTATATAATAGTTACGCACAAAACCATAGCTTCACTTACGTATTGGCAAATATACTCATCACACGAATGCCCTCTAAAAATGGTTTGAAAAGTTCACATATTTTCGCTATAAGTCATGCAAAAACACAAATCGAGACAATATTCTCATCGTTTTATTCTTCAATTATATGTTTTATTGTACTTTTTATATTAAAATTACATCGTATTATCATTTTGTATAGAAAAATCAACTCAAAAATTATCATCATTTGAATGATTGATACGAAATAGAAGAACACAAAACAGCAAACGACTAGAAAAGCGATAACTTTTTATTAAGTTATCTATTTTTGTATATGATTTGATGGATAAATGTTTGATTACTTAAATTACAATATATTAAATGTAATGATTATGCGATTGTTTTGGTATAAAATAATTTTCATTCATGAAAAGACGGATTGAGTTTTAAATACTTATTAAATCAATTTATATCAAAAATAAAAGGCTTAAAATTCTGTTTAAAATGTCTTTTTGGTATAAAACGTGAAAAATAGTTGCAATTAAGTAAAGTTAAAAAGAATATATGAAAAATAGCTTTCATTATATTCTCAAATACTGTGTTTTAATACAAAATTGACGGATATTTTAATGATAAGACGATAACGAAAAAAGAGGCAGAGAATTGTCTTTTAAGAATTCGTTGCGAATATCGATATAAATAATGAATTAAATCATTTATGAATGTTATGAATGGCTTTGTTTAATATATGAAAAATCTCTGTAAAAGTTGGTCTGTCTTTAGGACTAGTACTCCAACATCTTATCAATAGATCCCTCAACATGTTGGGCATGGCTTCGGGCGCCTCCAGTTTGAGTTCATTCTTTTCGAGTAAACGAATAACATTTAAGTCATTCAATTGAGAGTACGGCAGCTCTGCTTGAAAACAGATCTCCCATATCGTCACACCAAATGAATAGACATCACTTTTGGCCGACCACTCGTCCTCCACCACCGCCTCGTGTGGCGCCCATCGGATCGGGAGATCACGGTTTTGGTAATTAAAATAACTGTTTAAAATACATATCACAATTAAATATCATTAGTCATAATAAATCATCACAAATGACTAACTCTGCGGAATAGGTGTCTTTTGAGAGTGAAGTACTGCTTAATTTAATATCAAGTTTGGATGTAATCAAACAGTTTCTTGTGGCCAAGTCTTTGTGAACGTGTCTATTGTTAGTTAAGTACTCCATTGCAAAAGCAATTTGTTGTCCGATTCCAAGCATTTGAGGTAATGTGAGAGGCGTTGGTTTAGGGCCGCGACGGCTCTTGTCATCAGGTCTGGTGGCCAACAGGAATTGCTTGAGATCTCCCCAATCGCTGTACTCCAACACAAACATAAAGGGCTCGCAATCCCTGCACAGACCCATCAGTTTTACGATTCGCTCGTTATTTAATTTATGAAACATTTCTATTTCCCGTTTATAATCAAAAATTATATTCTCATCCTTTGACTGCAACGCCTTAACCAAAACGATTTGTCCGTTTTCTATGGTTTTGTTATTATTAATGTTGGCTTTGGCTAAGAATACTTCGCCGAACTCTCCGTGACCTAAGAGGCACAGCTTCTGGAGGTCGTGTCGAGCGATCTCTAACTTTTCAATCGGAGACTTACTTCGTTTGGAGCTATGATTACTGGATGTCTGGGAGTGAACGTCGCCTTCGTTACGGATTTTGTTTGTCATTTGCTTTTGTTTGTCGTCCGTAAGCAAGCGGTGCTGCTCTGGATTGTCGCCAGCCTTTGCCCTATCCTTGAGCTCTAGGTCTCCGTTGTTTTCAGTTTTACCGTTTTGTGCGTTTCGGGCGTTTGTCATGGCTTTGCGTTTGGCTCGTCTGAATCGGCAGTATATCATAAGAGCCATAACCAGAAACATATAGAGCGCCGCAGCGCCTAATGTTATGGTAACGGTTCGCGTCATCTTATTGTTGTTTTCCTCGGAATTCACTCCCAAATGATTCAAATTATAGGTATCGCCGCTCTTAACGGTAAGAGTGACTTCAGTACGACTAAAGCCACCGCTATTTCCTGCAGTGCAGCCATACTTTCCTGAATCTAAACATAATATTTTATTCATTAAACTTTATTTACAAATTATTATAATTAAGACTCGCCTTCGAAGTGAACTTCATTTATAAGAAGAGAGCCGTTAGGCATAATCGCAAACCTCTGCTCATCAAAGCCATTGAGCACATTATCCTTATCCCATTGAATACTAGGATTGGGTTCACCTAAACATTAGATTAATGTCTTTTTTATTCTTCAATTCAATGAACAGTTACTATACAATAAGCCCTGAAAATTGATTTTATATTCAAACAGAGAGTTTATGCCAAAGGCTATTATCACGACTTGTTTGAAACTATTTACAATATATTAGACATAAATTCAATCAAATTCTTTACAATTAGCTCTTATGAAGCGTTTAAAAATATTAATACAAAAAATGTTTACTATTTAGTAAACACTTTGGGCTCTATTGCCTAAACATTGCTAAAATCTAAATTTAAAAAGATTTTACATAATCATTGACTAACTTTATTATAATAATAGCTTTTGTGTACATTAATTTGATTAAAGTTTTTTGTATATTAAATTGAATATATCATGGGCTCAACCATTAAATCAATTATAAATTGATTAATTTATATAAGATATGCAACAAATAACAATCACTTACCCTCAGCCCTACAATCTAAAAGTGCTGAAAAGCCCTCAACAATCGTCTGAGGTTTGGGCTCGACTGTGAACTTGGGTTTTACAGTTACCAACACTTCAAATACAAATTAAAAGTTTCAACATGATATGATTTCTACAAATAATCATAAATACCTTCTATACTAGTGTTGATAATGCCCTGAGAATTAGTTGCAATGCATGTATAATTGCCGGCGTCCTCCCTGTCCGGCAAAAAATAATTACACATATAAATGATATTTATAGACAATGCATAATAATATAATGTTATATAACGTAAAAGTAATATTAAAGCAAATATTTTGTTGGGCATCAATCACCGGACGTATATATAGCACACAGTTCTTTTGCTTTGGTCATCGAATTTGATTTTACCGTTATTTTAATATATTATAAAAATTATGAAAATACAGTATAGTATTTTTAAAATTCAAACAATTATTTTGTCCAGCATAATTCCTTCATTAATTAAAGTATGTTAACACTATTGGTAATACCTGTCACTCATAGGAAAAAACTAATTTATAACATGATTCAATTCTGCATAACTATGAAACTAGTGGTTACAAGAAATATGTAACACACCCTATAAAATAGCCGCCGATGTGTACACACTCTAGAATCTCCACTTTAACGCAAGCAAACAATTATATAAAGAGGTATTAAACGTTTATTTATACTGTATTACAACATAATATTATGTTTAAATAGTTATAGGGTATAGTTTTATAATTATAATAAACATATGAATAACAATACCTTTTGACCAAGTTGAATTCAAGAGTGCCGTTAGTGTCGAGTATATGGTTGGGCCAGTCCAAGCCCTTCAGTTGTCCGTCTTTAGTCCATTTAACCCATTTGACTGTCAGTAGAGGCGCTCCTTTGGCTTTGCAAATAAGTTTCGACTTTGAGCTCAATTCCAAGTTTTTATTCGTAGGAATATTAAAGAATTTCAGTTTCTCTCTAATCGTAAGATTTGCTGCTTTCGAGCGAATTGTTTGAAATCCAGTTGAATTGATTTCACACAAGTAATGCCCGGAATCAGCAATTTGTGCCCTTTTTATAATAAGACTTCCGTTATTTAACACCGAATGTGAAATAGAATTTCGCAAATATTTCCCGTTTTTAATCCATTTGACTGATGTGTGAGGACTGGCTGTATATAAACAATGCATTACTGCCAGTCCGTCCTCATCGGCAATAATACTGTTAGGATCGGTGAGTGTGGGCGGAGTCGCCACATATATCTCATACAATTTCTTCATACTGGCGGCCAAATTGGTGGCCACGCAGTGGTATTTCCCGGCGTCGCTCTTCTTAATGGGTCCGTCAATAATGAGAGCATTCTCTTCGACGCGAACCCTTCCCGAGTCGGAAACAATATCGCCGTTCGGGTCTTCCCACCAAAGGGTCGGTTTTGGGAACCCATTTGGAGACATACAATATAATTCAACTTTTGGACTATTCTTTGGCACAATATGTAAATTAAGGTTTGGGGCAAATGTTGAGCTTAAATCGTTTGCATCGAATTCCTCTAAGTCTACAATAAATATGTTCATCAATACATTAATACAAGACATCGCGTCTAAAAATGTTTAATGATTTTACAGGCAATTTGAAGGCGTGTGGAAAATATCTGAGTTTTATCGGCATCTTTGCTATCATAAGGAAGACCAACGCATTTATAAAAGCCGTTGTCTTCTCTTTCGACTCGATTTATAAGAAGTGATCCGTTTGTAAAAACAGTGACTCTGTTTAGAAATGATTTTATTATTTTTAAAAATAAATTTAAACGTAAATTAAAATCCAGACCTCGAAGTGTTAACAATTGGCACGTCTTTGTTGGGCGCATACCATTCAATCGAAGCCGCGTTCGTAAAAATACACTGCAATTCAATGCTTTCGTTGAGTTTAACGGTTGAATATTTAGATATTTGTTGCAAATGAGGGATTCCGTCGGCTTTACAATTATTTTGAATTTTAGTCAATTTATTTCACTTAATTGCAAATATTCTAACAAAGGCTTACCTTTGATATTAAGTTCAAAGTTGTCAGTGCTGTCCATTTTAGCGGCATTATTGCTGGCCCGACACGAATAGATTCCGTTATTAGCGACCGATTGTTTGGATATATGAAGGCGTTTGTGTCGTACAGACAAGTGTGGCGTTCGCTGTATTTTCACCGAATTGTGTAAGAATTCAATTTTGGGTTCCGGATTGCCCTCAACCTCACAGCTCAACACAATCTCATTCCCGGAATCACTTTCCGATTCCAAATGTTGGCTCACTTTCACGTTTTCGCTCAACCCTTTACAATATAAAATACATTTCACTAATTATTCTTACATTATATTTAAAATTAATTTAAACTAAACATTAGATAAAATATTATCAATTGACAGTAGGTTATTAAGAGAAACTAAAACTAACATGTGTGTTTCAGAGTTTTCATTGAAAATGAGTTCTAATTTAACATTTTGTTTTGTTTCAGTTTATTTGAGTTTTATAGTTTTATTAATACTGTCACTAATCTATTTACCGTAAGTGAAAGTCATTTATGTAACTAACGTCCTAACAATTCAACTCCTCTAACAAACAAAAGCGTGTTTCGGGATAAAAATTTAAGTGAAAATTTGTATATTTTATTTAAGCTACATTTTGACATTTTGGGCTATTTCACAAAAATTTGAATTGTTCATATGTTTTCTACTATATACTAAAATATATACTGTAATTCTACTAATCAGACTAATTAGAACATGTTTCATTTAAATTCTTTTGGTTCTCTTAATAGTCCAAATTATTTAAGGATTGTCGCAAATTCATGAATATTCTGCTATCAATTCTATGAATATCTTACTTAAAACATAAATTCTAAAATTCGATTCTATAAACTAATGATATAAAGTATATACATTTAAACATTTAAAATACAAAACTTTGAGCAAAATTTGAATCAATTATTTTCAATAGAATACTATTATTTTCTATGAAAATAGTTGTTTGTATTAAAATTTTTTATTTAAAAGTTTGAACTTTATAGATTTTAAAATTATATCAACATTTAAAAATTGTTTAATAATTTTAAAAAAGTAATTTTTCATTTATAAAATAAAAGTAAATTCACGATAAAAGTCGAGGGAAATAACTGTAAGCAAAGAATAGTAAACATGTTTGCATAGTATGTTTCGTAGAATAAATAAATTGCTATTCATATATGAATAAAATTAAACCATCATAGTGAATTGACTTCAAATGTCATGGTATATAAATCTCATACTAATTATAACGAGATATTTCTGGGATCAACGGCTATGTATGAAATTAAAATAATTTAAATGATGTTATTTTAGTGTAATTCGTGTGTAAAAACAGACATTCATTCTTCTGATATCCTATTGCTAACCATAAGCTCTCATAAGATATAAGTAAAAGTGAACT